GCCATGATAAATCTGAGCTGTGTTGACTGAAGAGGTTACTGAACACCAAGTTTGAAATGAAAGAGTTGGGTTAGGCTCAGAAAATTCTTGGTGTTTCTATTATGAGAAATAGAACTTCTGGAAGTTTGAAGTTAGTACAGCAGGACTATACTGAGAAAATCCTGAAGAAATTCAATATGCAAGATGTTAAATCTGTTTAGACTCCTTTTGGTCCTCACTTGAAACTTTCACATGAGCAGAGTCCACAGACTAAAAAAGAGAAGTTGGAAATGGCAGAAATTCCTTATGCAAGTGCATCAGGAAGTTTACTGTACCAGATGGTATGTTTAAGACCAGAATTAGGCTTCGCTGTAAGTCTGGTAAGCAGATTTATGAGCAATCCAGGAAAGACTCACTGGATGGCTCTTAAATGGATTATGAGGTATTTATAGGGAACCAGATCAGTAGGTGTTAGAGTCATGAAAGTGACTCTATTTTGGTGATAAAAATACCCCATGTATGATTAAATTGAAGTATATTGAGATAATTAAAGAATTCATGAATTTATTCACGAAAATCGCTTCCTAATATTTTTCTTATGAATTTAACGTGTTTGGAATGATTTTGGAAAGTATATGAGTTGATATTAGGTTGTGGTTTATGGATTAAGGGTGATTTTGTCTCATTTATGTTGTTTAGGGGGTAAAATGTCATGTTTTAAGGGGCTGATTTTGTTACTTTTCAATTGTGTAGGGACCAAACTGATATTTTACAATTTGTTCTATAAAAGAAAAATGCAGTTCGCGTTTTCGAGGGGGGCTGTTCATCATCTTTTTCGGCGACCCTTCGTCTTCCATTTCCAGCGACCTCCGGCGACTCTTCGGCTTCCTCGTGCACAGATCGTCGTCATCCCATCGTCCCGGACCACCACCACGAATCACGGAACCAGCCGCGGCGTTTCATCTTCCACCACCGCGACTGTTCGTCTTCCCGGCCAGTTTTGGTCGTTTTTCGGCGACGTCTCAGCTCCCCAAGGGTCGATCTCCCTTCCCCACGACCGGATCTACACTTCCCTAGCTTCAGCCGTCGCAAAAATCGCCGGAATCCGTGATTTTGCCGCCGCGCCTCTTCATCTTCCAGGCCAGATCTTGCTCATTTTCGGCGACTTCTCACCTCCCCAGAACCTGATCTGAACTCCCCATCACCAGAGCTTTCCATCGGTACCTTTGGATCCCATTTCCGCCACCGTTTTTCGGAAGGCCCGTCGAAAAATTAACGTTTTCCGGCGAAGTGCGGCTGTTCGTATTCCAGGCTATCCGTTGGTCATTTTCGCCGCTTCTTCATATCATATCACTGTCGGTTACCTCCTCTCCGCCATGGTCAGCTTCGTTTCCACCGTTTCAGCCTCCGTCATCACCACCATGAGCGGCTAAGTTCCTGGTTGTCTGTTATGGCATAGGCGAGATCAAGATTAACTCCACGACTCTCCTCATCAGCTCTCGACTAGTTGGATGAGCCCGATTATAGGACATTTGGTAGTATTGTGCTTTAGATTATATTTGTTTTCGTTTCATGTTTGATTTCGATACTTTAATATGATTTGAGCATAACTTGTGATGAATATTGTTGTCCATTATGATTTAATGTTTTCATAGAACTTGCTGAATGATAAACGTTGGTTTGAAATAATTAAATGATGAATATTGCTTTTCATTACTTCGCATCGATTGTAATTGAGTTGTGTTCGGATTTAATTTAATTTCTACTATTGTTGCGTTTATTGTGAAGTTGGTTGATTGGATATTACGTGTTGACAAATTGTATTTGTTAATCGCGTACCAACTAGTGGTATTGCCTTGTAGCGTTTATCGACGTTCAATGATAGTCTTTAACCAATCGAACTTGAGTGATCGGGTGAGACAGGATAGATTATACCTAGAGTGTCGGGAAACCATTTCATTGATTTACCTTGCCTTGTAGGTTTAGGGGATCGTAGAGGGTGGAGAAGAATTGTGTGAGTCGGTCTTGTGTCGAACCAAAACCGTAACGGCAACATTTTTATTATAAAGTTTTTATTAGTTTTAATTGCACTATTTCATTATTTGCATTTAGTCTATTTAGTTTCTTTAATCAATTGCCAATTTCATTTCTGCTACTTAAAATACATTAGGTTGTTAGTCTTGCTCCCTGTGGATTCGATCCTGCTTACCACTAACTACGGTATTTAGGTTTAATTTTGTGACCATGACGACTGGTCTAACAGTAGGCATTGTTTTTGAGAAAAAAATGGAGTTATGATGATTGTGTTGAGGGTTTTGGTGATGCAGATTATGTAGGAGATATAGACAGAAGGAAGTCTACATCTAGATTTGTGTTCACACTATAGGGAAATATTGTCAGTTGGAAATCCAAGTTGCAACATATAGTTACTTTGTCTTCAACAGAGTCAGAATATGTAGCATTAATCGAGGCAGCAAAGGAAGCTACCTGGTTGAAAGGATTGATTAATGAGCTGGGTATTGAGCAACAGACAGTGAAGATTAATAGTGACAGCCAGAGTGCAATTCACCTTTGCAAAAACCAAGTATACCATGAAAGAACTAAACACATAGATGTTTGCCTTCATTTCATTAGGGAAATGATCGAAAGAGGGGAAATCGAGATTGAAAAAATTGATGGTTCACGAAACCCTGCTGATATGTTCACAAAACCTGTTTCATTTGAAAAACACAGGCTCTGTATGAGCCTTCTTCAAGTTCTAGAGTGAACTTATGAATTCCAAGGCCACATGGGGTAACAAATCAAGAAGCCAAGGTGGAGAATTGTGATGATGTGGCTTCTCATTAGCCACGGTGGAAGTTAGCTTTCTTTGTTAAAAGTCAAACACATAGAGCGACGTCGTTTTTGGCCAAACCTAATGAGTTATTTGTTAGACTATCACACTTTTACGCAGACTTCATCTCTCCTTTTTGTTTCGGTTCGATAGCTCTTAACCTAAGGGAAAGTTCCAAAATCGATTTCATCTTACGGTTATGGAGGAATCAAAGACAAATAGATGGCGATCTAGGAAGGGAGCATGTGTATTTAACACATGCTGATGCTGAAGGAAGAGGCAAATTTCAGATTGAAGAAAACCTAGGGTTTTCGGATTTGGGTGTGTTCTTTCCTTATTGTAATCTTTCATGTTCTGATCTAATCTTTTCTCTGTACTATGTTGATTGATAATGGAATGCCCTATTGTGAGCCTTGGAGAGTGGATGTAGGCTGCAAAGCCGAACCACTATAATTTATGTGTCTTGATTATGCTTGATTGATTCTTTATCTTCATTTGTTATATCTCTGATTGCTGAGTTGATAAACGATTCACTGCTAATTTAGGATTAAGTAAACCCTAGAAATCTAACAGTTTTCTTTCTATCAATTTGGTCCAGACAAGTTCAAAGAAAAAACTAATTAGGCCATAGATTTATTTTCATATATGAGACTTTGTTATAAGACCATTTGATGTTCAATTTATGTATAACGTGGCGTAGTTATATTAGGCAATATTCTTTGAACAACTTCCTGCTGATGAGAGTTGACTGTTGAGGTTGTCAGTGGAGGAGAGGAAGGCTGTCATAAGCTCAAGCTTTGTCTTCATTATTTCAAACTGATCTTTAAAATCAAGTGCAAACTGAGCTCGATTAATTAAAGGCCTGAACACCTTATCTGTCAGCGTCTTAATCATAGCATCTGTCGCCATAACTTCCGTTCGAATCTTATTTGTGAATTCATGTTCAAATCTGAATCATTAAGTTTTGCTGTTTTAATTTTTAGTATTCATCAATAGAAGTCTAATTTATTTGAGGTGTATGGATTAATGGCTTAAATAAACTTTTGAACTGTTTTTTGGGTAACATTTAATGGACAAACAAACAAAGAACTTAGCTATAAATTTGAAAGGGATTTCAAAATAGCACATACCTTAAGTTTTCAAGAACGTACGTGATAGAAAGAACGGAAGAGCTCCCAAAACAGAAAAAAGTTTACGGTCTTGTTTCTTGCAAAGAGAAGATAGAAATGTTAACACGGAGAAGAACAGAGTATGGTTGTAAACGTTTGCAAGAAACAGGTTTGAATCTGATTCTCTAGCTAACGTGAGACCATTACTTTTCTTCCTGCACTAAGTTGTAAAGACTTAACAACGAAAATTAAAAATTTAAAGGCACAAAAGGGACAGATTCTAATAGGAAGCAAAGAACCTGACTGACAATAGAAAGGAAGTAAGTTTGACGATTCTATAACTTTAATGGCGGGACTGACTGGGTTTTTAAATTGAATTTGTGTTCAGAGAAAAAGATACATAAAGAATAAAAATATGACTTTCCTTGTGCATCAAGTTTGAAGCTTTCTTTTAGAGAAGAGAAGAAAATACGACAGATCATCCAAAAATCGGTTCCATCAATTTTATTCGTGAAATTTTGGATATCACTTCATGAAGAATTTTTAATTCCAGTCCAATCAAATGGACTAATTACTTTGAAAGAGCCAAGAAATTATGGGGTGAAATTGCTGTCAGTGTGTTTTGATGATAGTTAAGTTAATACGCACTTACGACAGGCAACTAGGGGTTTTTAGCCCTTCAGCATTTCTTCTGGGATTGAAAAATGAATCATAGGGTGACAAATTGTTAGATCTTGTATTAACATTTGTGATTGGATGTGACAAATTGCTCTTCAGCTTTGAATGGCATGCAAAGGAACTTAAAAACAGAAACTTTGTGGACCTTCTTCCGAGAAATATGTCTTTTCCTTCAGAAAAACTATTATTGACAATCACACTCACTATTATCACATTAATTTGAGGTTCCACATAATGGTATGACTTCTGTGAAACTTCTTTAACAGAGTAATATGACAACAATCAGAAAACAGAGGAACCAGAAGAAAATAAAAAGAAATGGTGACATGAACCTCAAAAAAAGAGACAAGGACAAAGGTAGGAAGCCTATTCCATAAACGATTTTGATAAAACCAAACTGCTCAAAAATCAAGCTGAGGGAGAGCGTTGACATTAGAAATTTGCTCAAGCTCACTCACAATTTCGAGCATTGTAGGCCTCAGAGTAGGTGACAGATTAATGCACTGTATAGCCAAATCCAGCATTTTAAGAGCTTGCTTTTTATCATATTCTCCAGACAGATTTGTATCCACCAAGTTCAAAAGCATTTTCTCTGAATGTAAAACGCAAGCCTGCATAATTGCAACAGTGTAAGCCCTTAAATGTACAATGGAATCTGAAAACTCAACTGCTTGGCTTTGTGTAAAATTTGTTCTATTTCCCTCACCTTATTTAAAAGATAATCGTTCCCTTGGTTTTTTTCGCTCTTTGAATTACTCTTTCCACTAACTATTTCAAGCAGAAGTACTTCATAACTATAAATATCAGCTTTGTCTGTTATGGCTTTTCGCATTGCATACTCAGGTGCCATATTTACTCTGAAACAATAACAAGGAATCATACAAATAGCAAAAATAACTTGTTCGTTTGATTCAAAAGTAATGACAGATGATTCTTACACTGTTCCTATTTCTTTGATGAACTGATATGGATTTTCCTCGTCATAAAGTTTTGCCAGTCCAAAGTCTGAAACCTTAGGGTTAAGATTTCCATCAAGTAGAATATTACTTGCTTTAACATTTCTGTGAACAACTTTACCTCTTGCATGATCTTTGATGCAGATACTTCAGACCCCTTGCTATTCCAAGGCATATGTTAACTCTCTTTGGCCAATCAAGTGTCTCTTTAAAATTCGACTCATCTGCTTAAATTAACAACATTAATGTTGTTAATTTAAAGAAGGATAATAATATACTATTTTGACCTACTCTTAACCTCAAAGTGACAGGAAGACAAAAATAAAATTGTATGTGCCAACATGATTAAAGAAAATGAAATCAAAAGTAGAAAGTTTCTAAATTAATTGAACTTATGACTAAAAGAAAACTTACCAAACAATACTTCTGTAAGTGAGCCTTTTTCCATATATTCATAAATCAGCAAGTGTAGATCCTTTTTGGAATAAACATCCAACAATTCGACAAGATTGTCATGCTTTAACTGTTTCAAGGCATAGACTTCAGTTCCTATTTGATCAATGTCTGATTGAAAAGAAAGCTTCTTCACAGCTACCGTCTGATTTGGCAGTTGAGCCTTATACAAAACAAAGACTAGTAATAAATAAGAGCATCTCTAATAAAGAATACATTTCACATAAATAAAGAGCATCTTCATTAATTTCTAAATATAAAGAACAAAATTTATATTCAAATCTAATAGGCTCTTTAAATTAGACTTAATAAATAAGAGAGATACTTAATATAAGAGAAAATTAATAATAAAATACATAAAAACTTGTAGTTTATTAAATAAAATAAGGATAGAGAATAAAATTTGACTTTTTAGATGTGAAAAGTCAAATTCACTCTTTAATTTATATTTAAAGGATAAAAAGTCTATTGTACTCATGCTTTTATGAATAAACTCTCTAGAAAGAATCTTTTGGAGATGCTCTAAAGTGCCCAAATGTATAAATTATTTACATACTAAACATTCATCCCAACATAATTAAAGTATAACCTTGTATATCATCCCAAAACGCCCATTGCCAATCTTATTCGTAGGGCTGAAATTTCGAGTTGCATCTTTCACTTGTTTAATAGTGTAAGACTTGCCTCGGAGTTCCACCTTTGTCACTACACAGATTCAAAAAATAAAATCATAACTAAAATTATCTTAACAAAAGAATTTAAATTAGTCTTTTGAATTTATTGCACATTACCACGCAACTCTCTGTCTCCCAGATATCCCATTCTCCACATAAAAGCCAATACAAGAACCAATAGAAGAAGTCCAGTTAATACAGAAGCAACCGCAATCCATGCTATCGGTAATGGTTTGATGTCTGAATACAATAGTAGATTGCAACAAGAACCATACTGTCAGCATAGTCATAAAAATGGGAATTTGAACAAAATTAAGCAGAAGGGCAAGTGTGAAAATTTGTACTTCGAGTGGCAGAAATAGCTGATATGAGAGGTCCATTCAGATAAAGCCGATTCATAATTAGATCCCTTTCCGGCCCAGAATAAAAGGATCTCCAGTAGATTATCATGAACATAAATATCTTTGAAATTTCAATCCACTCCATATTTGGAGTATTCCCAGTATTTTTTTTATGTTGAAATTTCTTCCTAATTGCTTCCCCTGTAAGGAGAATTCCTTAGTAGATGGCAAAACTGAAAATTGGCCTAATGAATTAAAGCATTACTGAATATATATATCAAAAACTCGCTTCCCTAAACTGCTATACTTCATCTTTTGCAAATACAATTTCAGCGAAGTGAAGTTTCACATTATAATGGCCATTGTGTAAGCAGAAACCTAATATGTTAGAGATTGAGGGCAAAGACGAGCTTTAACATATAATCAGGAACAGAAGTTCCACATGTAACGTTCTGTATGTAATTTGTGGAATCGCTTGACGTTTGAACTCTCCCAAACAACTATAAGCCCAGGGCTTTTCTGAATTTTCATACAAAGTAGTTACAGTGTTGAATATTTCATCAAAGACATTTGTTCAAAGTTTTTTCGCTCTCCACCAGCATTTATAAACAATGAATGGTCTGAAAGAAACAGAATGTAAGTATAATTAAAATTATTGTTGTCATATCAAGGTCAAATTGTGTGCTTGCTGAAGAATAAACGTACACTTGGATTTCTTGTACCACAACGATATCCATGATCGGCTTGAGGATTCCCTAAGAACACAATTCAATTGGTGAGAAATCAGGGTTATATTAATTGCAGAATTGAAGATATGGACTTACCTGTTTTCGGTTCATGGTTGCAGCAGCACACTGAAGACAGGTCCATGCAAAATAAAAAAGAGAGGACATCCAGAAGTAAAATTTAAAGCTCAAAAGAATGGGAGAACGATGGAATTTCCTTAAATATTAATTTGAAAGATTCCTGCAAGATAACAATTTACAGATTTTATGATATATTCCTCTATTGATATGAGAATAAAATATTACAATACTTGGTAGATAGTTTAGCAGATACACATGTATATCTTTACTTTAATAACGAAGAATAGTATACCTATAATTGGTTCAACGTGAGCAGCAGCAACATGCAAACAAGTCCAGAAATATAAAGTGAAATTTTATAAGTGATAGTTGATATACAAAAGAATTTTCAGGATAAAAAGAAAGAAAGGAGAAAGAAAGATAAAAAAAAAAAAAAAAAAAAGAAACAGTGGAGATTGATTGTGTTTCTATTTCCTTCAATTCTTCTTTTCTGCTTCAACAGTCAAATTATTGGTGAAATACCCCTGGACAGAATAATCAGGAATTTCACAGAAGAGTGATCTTTATAATTAAGTTATATTGAAAAGCAAAATAATTTTAAGGAGAAGAAGAAAAAAGTAAAAAGTAGAAGAAAAGAATAGCAGAGATTTGATTCTGTATTTCTATTTCCTTTCACATACTTCTTTACTGCTGCTTCTTCAGTTGTAAAATTATTGTATGAAATACCCCTGCAAGAGAATAACAATAATTCACAAAAGAGTGGAAATTTCTCTTTACTTTTGTATAAGTGTAACAAGTATATATGGTCACAGACATGCACTCCACTATAAGCAGAAATGTACTTTTATGTTTGCTCATAGACATGACAATATTAGACTAAATATTAATATTTATTGAATACCGTCTTATTGTTGAAAATTAAACTTGACTTTATTGCAGAACATTATTTCAACCAGAATTTTAAGAGTCTACATCCAAATTCAGTGTATAATATGTCAAATTAAAGTCTTATCAGTCGAATTTCAAAGCTTAAACCACTCATCAATTGGATCTTTATTTGAACAGTTATGACTAATTACTACTGACTATTAGGTGAAAATCGAGAATCTGAGAAAACCAAAATATGTCTTTTGTGGTTTTAACGTCCTATGGATGTGAATAGCATTATATGTTCTTAAATTTAGACTCTTGAGTTTTCTTTGAGTAGTATATATAGCCATGTACTGAAGCTATGTTTGAAGAAGGGAAATAAGAAGTTTGATTTGTGAATTCCTCTTCTATTTCCTCTTTCCTTGTGAGCTTTGTGCCCATGTTGCTTCCAACAAAGTGGCATCAAAGCCTTGATTCAAGAGAATGTCTTCTAAAGCACCCACTCTTTTCTTCCATACCACAACTGTCAAGCACAATTATGAGAATTGGGCATGCAATTTGAATGAAGGCTATCCTTGGTTCCAAGGAGTATGGGAGATTGTTGAGAAAGGTTATGTAAAACCTCAAATGAGGAGGAGTTGAATCAAGCTCAAAATGATGCCTGGAGAAAGAAAGGAAGAAGGATTAATGTGTGTTACTGTTGTTCATCAAGGCCTAGACGATAATATGTGCCAACGAAACCATTCCAAGCAAGCATGGGATACTCTTTGAAATCGTCATGGGAATTGAAAAAGTGAAGAAGGGCCGAGTTTGAATCTCTTTTGATAAAAGAGAGTGAATCCATTTGATTACTTCACAAGAGTCTTGACAGTGGTGAATCAAAAGAAGAGGCTTGGAGAAAGATTTGTGTTGTTGAGAAGATTCTTCGCTCTCTTAATTCCAAATTCAAACCATGTGGTGGTAGCCATTGAAGAGTCTTAAGTATTTGGAGTTCATGTCCATCGACGAATTAAATGGATCCTTACGGGCCCATGAAGAAAGAATGAACCAAGGCAAGCAAGAGCATGTGGAGCATGCGTTGCAACCAAAGCTTTCATTGAAAGCCAAAGGAGAAGCTTATAAAAATGGTAGAAGAGGTCGTGGGAGGACGTAGTCATGGAAGAGGAAAAGATGAGCAAAATTCTTCTCAAGAGGGAAGAAATCAAAATTATTCAAGAGGACGTGGAAGAGGAAGAGGCAACTATGAAAGATACAATGAAGTAAAGAATGACACAAGTCAAATTGAATGTTATTCTTGTGAAAATATGGGCATTATTTTGGGAGTGTCCAACCAAGGAAGTAGAAGAGGAGACAAAGCTCATTATGCACAATGAAGATGTGGAGGAGCCGGCGCCTGCATTACTCCTTACACTTAAAGAAGTATCCGGTCATGGCAAGAGTTTGTGGCACCTAGACAATGGAGCTAGCAACCACATGATGGGCGATAGAAACAAATTCGCGGAACTTGACACCAAAATGATGGGACATGTGCGCTTTGGTGATGAATCAAAGGTGAAGATTAAAGGTAAAGGTACAATTTTGTTTGAGGCAAAGAATGGGAGCCATAAGATTCTTCCTAATGTTTATTACATTCTAGAAATGAAAAGTAATATTTTGAGTATTGGGCAACTTATAGAGAATGGTTGCAAAATAACCATGGAAGATCGTTTTCTTTGGCTTAGAGACAAAAAAAGGGAATCGTATTACTAAGGTTTCCATTAGGGTTAAAAAAAAAAAAAATACCGAACCAATCCGGGAAAACCGAACTCAAAATCAGTTTTCAGATTAACTGGTTAGGTTTCGATTTTCAAAAATGACCAAAACCGATTTTCCGGTTTGGATAACGATTTATGGGCAATGTCAAACCGGTTAACTAAAATTAGTTTTGAAAAAAACTAAAAAAAAAAAAAAAATCCCTACTTTTCCCCCACTTTTTGTTGGGTATTGGGTCTTCAGTCTGTTTCTCCTCCACTTTTTCTTGGGTCTGCTTCTCCAGTTTTAGTTTTTATTTTTATTTTTCGTCTTCTTCTCCTTTCAATACTTTAATAGTTTTCTCTTTCTTTTTCATCTTTTGGTTTGTAAAATGTAAAGTGGACGTGAATGGCATTATATGTTCTTAAATTTAGACTCTTGAGTTTTCTTTTGAGTGGTTTATATAGCCATGTACTCAAGCTATGTTTGAAGAAGGGGAATAAGAAGTTTGATTTGTTGATTCCTCTTCTATTTCCTCTTTCCTTGTGAGCTTTGTGCGCATCTTGCTTCCAACACTTATTAGCTTAAGATTTTAGGTGGAGTGATAATTTAACTAGAAAGGGTGTCTTGAAGCTTAATTAATATTATTGAGACTTGCAGCTTTTATTTACCTATAATCTAAAGGTTTCTGGCGGTCAAGTTCAATGTATTAAGTTGCCAAATATTAATGCTAGACTTTTACTAAATAATTTAAACTTTTAGTCAAGTAAGATATTTAAAACGCTTAAAACTTATATATACGGGTGACAAGAGGATTCATCAACACTGTGTAACCATATACAGCTGTCTGTACTATATGAAATATGATCTACGGTGAAATTAAAGTTCATGCAACCTGATGCAATAAGTGTTATTAACTTCTCTTATATATATAAATATATATATATATATATACCCCTTAGATTTTACTGTGTTATTAATCCAGCGGAGAATTGCCTGATTGATCACATCTCCGGAGAGAAACCTGAAACCAAAGATGCCAATTAACGTCAGTGAATCTAGTGATGAAGGAGAACAGAGAGATAGATTGATGGTGATAAAGAAAAGTTATCACATACATGCTACTACTTGATTTCAGATTCAGAATAGAATTTGGGATCACACCAGTAAAATTGTTGAAGCTCAAGTCACTACAATGCACATAAATAATATCTTGGAATAATTAGTCATTGAAGGTACTCGAATAAATTATCAGTGACTTAAGGAACATAGTTATATTAGAACGATAGAAGAAATCTAAACAAAAACTTTGGATTTTATCGGGAAAGAGACGTACAGTCGGCTCATATATGTATTCTCATCAAATATAAATGATGGGATTTGACCGATAATATTGCAGTTCCGCAGTACCCTTAGAAAATTGGTCAAATCAATTGGATCTGTCAGATAACTTAATATATACAAATTAAGGATCTAAAAAAAAAAAAAATTCATACAATTTACAGGAATAGATATATGGTGTGTAACAATTGAATTGGACTACTTACAGAGTACCCATGTTTGTCAAATTAATTGACATTGGTAACTGAAAACCGATGTGGTTCAGATCAGTAACCCTCCTGGTACAACAAAGACATGCCAGAAAGTATCACAATAACTAAGAGTTCATTTCTGCAACAAGAAAAAACACGAGATTGAATTTTTCTTACAAAGTTTGAAGATTAGTCATTGTAAAAATTTCTGGAGGCAGTTTGTCTTCAAAATTGTTTCCTCCAAGATCTCTGTGAGCAACGGAGAATATCCATAATGCAATAAGCTGACTGTTCCTCTATAATTAATCGTCCTAAAAGACATACTATTGTAAAACTATATAGTCACGCCGTTCTATCGAACCATGTTATAACTCCGACTCATAGCATGGCATTGAGTTTGGCCATTGACCCATTGTCATATGGCCAACCCATGGCCTTTCTCAATGCCGACAATGCATCGGGCCAACCAGCAAGCCTGCGCTGGAATGTCAGAAGGCTTACACCGGTGCAGGCTACATCGATGATCAGCCCTGACGAGGTGCACTGTGTCGCCAAAGAGCACCAATGCAGCCTACCAGCATCCATTATGCAAGATGGTTTCCTAATTGATAATTAAATTTAATTATGTTTTTTTTCAACTTTTAAATCCTTATGTAAAATTTTTGTATCCTAATTGAAAAGTTTTAATGATCGAGATCCGGATTCATTATGGCTATAATTTCTCAATTTATATCATTAGGGTCAAAATTTAGAATGACTGAAATATTGATTAACATTTAGATATATAATACAGTCAAAAAGGCTTACAGGGAAGAGAGATTGACCCATTTAATAACGAATTTGGGAAACGAACCCGTCAAATAGTTCCCGGCGACGTAACTGCAAAAGAAATTAATTAGCTACAAGTTGCCCAGGAAGAAAATTATTGCAAAGATGAAAAGAACAAAGACAATGTAAAGGATGGCTCACTTACAAATATTTCATGGTCGTAATATTTTGATAATCGTCGGGCAAATTCCCAGTGAAATAGTTGGATGACAAAGAGCTGCAACAACATTATAATCACTCCCAAAAGGTCAAGACCCAAATTCATTGTTCCAGGAACACAAAAAAAAAAAAAAAAAAAAAAGAAAAAGAAAAAAAAATCTTATAAAAAAAAAAAAAAAAAAAAAAAAAAAAAAAAAAAGAAAAAGAAAAAAAAATCTTATACTAAAAAATCATTCCTGTCCTTCCTTTTGGTCTTGTACGTCCACCTAGATATACTTACAGAGTCCCAAGACGGCTTAAATTTCGAAGTTCTTTTGGAAGTGCACCGTTTAGTTCATTCTCCTTCAAATATCTATGAATAAAATGGAGAAATAATGGGGTTAATGATTGTGAGAATCATTTGTTTATGACGTGCAGTAGAGAGAGACCGAAAGAAGATTTCATACAAAGTCTCGAGTTTGCCAAGTTTGCCAAGTTCACCAGGAATTGAGCCTGATAGCCTATTAAACGATAAGTCCCTGCATAATAAACCCATAAACATGAGATTACGCAAATCCAATGAAGTAAATAAGGAAAGTACTTTGGTTCTGAAGATGCTTACATGTATTCCAGAGATGAAAGACTACCGAAAGATCGTGGGATGCTGTCATTGAGAAAGTTCTTAAACAGGTAGCTGTGACGGCAAAGCAGAATTATTAGAAGACAAAGGAATGGATAGAACCATATCTCTATCTTTATATAAGAAAACTAAATGGAACTAGGAAACTTTTATTTCAATGTCAAGACTTACAGTGTTTCTAGCTTCTCCAATCTCCCCAAATGGCTAGGAATAGCTCCAGTCAGTTGATTTTTTGAGAAGTCTCTGATTATCATACGAATTCAAATTAAGGCTCATTATAGTAATGTAACATAGAATTCATAATAAACCCACTGGGAGAATGACTGGAACTAAAAACTTTATTGTACGATCATTTTGCGACAAAACTTACAGTGTTTTTAGCATCTTTAAATTCCCCAGACGCTCAGGTATAGGTCCAGTCAACTGATTATATGAGAGGTCCCTGATTATTGATTATTATACGAATTCAAAGGCTCATTATTGTGAAGTTAATTTGTAACACAGAATTCATAATAATTCCACTTGGAGAAAATTAATTGGAACTGTAAACCTTAATTTTTATTTCTATAACGACACTCACAGTGTTTCTAGCTTCTTCAAATTCTCCAAATCCGTAGGTATAAGTCCAGCCAACTGATTGCCGTAGAGGTATCTGATCATTACACAAATCCATTCATCATAGCAAAGTTTGTAGTATATAGAATCCATAATAATAAATTCACTAGAAGAAAATTAATCGGATCTAAAAGCCTTAATTTCCATTTCTATAACAAGACTTACAGAATGGCTAGGTTCGTCAAATTCCCCAAATTCCGAGGTATTGACCCAGTCAACTTATTGTTTGCGAGGTTTCTGATCATTATACAAACCCACTGGCTTATTATAGCGATGTTTGTAACATAGAGTTCACCCTATCTCACTCAAATGAAAAAATTATCATTGAACTTGTAGTACAGCAAAGAACTTACAGGTGAGTAAGATGAGATAAACTCCCCAGTTCGGGAGGAATGGAACCGTAAAGATTGTTGTTGGATAGATCACTGTTGAGTTTGGACGTAAAAATAACCAAAGATTCAGCCAAAGGTTATTTCTATGATTCCGGGCTGGCACCTCTTATTGCCCAGAGAGGGAATTACTCTCTTTCTGTGGCAAATGTGAGAGAGCCCAGCTACTTGGGAGTACAGTCAGGGGAAAAGAAATGATTAAAAGCAATTATACTTACAGCATCTCCAGGTAGTTAAGATTTTTCACAACAGCACTAATATATCCATCTAAAGGTACACTCCTCAAAATTCTGTTCCACAAGTATGAATGAATTAAACATGAAAACCTTAGTTATGATAAGGATCCTGGATCAATTTGACTGTATTGTATCATAGAGCTTACATTGCAATGATATGCTCTTTAGAACTTACATTTGAGTGATGTGCCAAGTATTGCTGATATTGGTGCAATTGATGACTTTGCCATAACCAAGATCGTGCTCCTCGTCACAATAGGATTCTGAAACAAGTGTTGGCGTACTTAAAGCTAAGTTGAACATGATTGTGTAAAGAGCCTCAGCTGCCAAATATTTTGACATAAACTGAATTAATAAATGTTAATTTACTGAAAATATTTATTAAGGAAGAGAGATTAGATAATACATTCAGCAGAAGGCAGTATTGCTGGCCCTGCAGAAGGCGGTATTGCTGGCCCTGCAGAAGGCGGTATTGCTGGCCCTGCAGAACTGTCCGTTGCTGGCTCTGCAATTTGACAAAGGAGAAACAGAATAATGAAAGGATCAGCAGACTTGGTAAGAAGCATCAGACAACTTCTATTCATGATTTTCTTTTTCTTTTTCAGCTCACTCAGTCTCATATTCTCTGCTACTGAGCTTGGTTCACCCGGATCTATTTATGAGAAGAAAGTGTAGTAGAAAACTAGCTGTAAAGTCGTCACTCAAGGAAAGTAATGTAGAATATCCCACACTGGTAGGATTTTTTTTTTTTTTTAATTTGGATAGAATTAGGATAATTATGTTGAGTCATTTTATAATTATGCTATTATCTAATTAGAATATCTTTAGAATTAAACAATTAAAGTCCTTCTACAATTAGAATATAATATGTAAGGTTATATAAAGCCTAAAACAATTAGTTTGGCAGAAAATAATCAATAAAAGTTCTCTTATTTGTAAGCCTATATAAAGGCTAAAATAATTAGGATTTAACCGGCAATAATCAATAAGAGTTATCTTCCCTTAACCTCTCAATTCTCATTCTTCCTATAAAAGAGAAACACTATCCTATCATTGACAATGTCAGAATTTAAGCCCAAGGGGGAGTCTAATCCAAAAGACTAGCCTGGTGAGAGAGTCTCTAGGCTTTTAAATACCACACTTCTGTGGGTACGAGATCCTGATGCGGGATCCTAACACACAACCTATTAACACCTTTGTTTTTTTGTTACTTTCTTAAAGAAGTGCTATGTTATTGGATAATGTTACATTAGTTAAACTATCATGGAGAAATTTAATGTGTGTTATGGACATTATAGTAGAACTCCACTTTTTTTCCTTCCAAAATCCTTGTACTCATAATAATAATTAAAAAAAAATAAGGTCGTATTGTTTTTGCAATCACAGATAAAAATTATTAGGCAAAAATATATACAGTGAATATTAAATTATGAAATTTAGGTGTTTTAGCTTATAGCTTATGTCCAAAGTTTGAAAACTTTATCATTGATACCCCTTTACCCTAACTCGGTTACATTGCCGTTAGGTTTATGAGAGCAATTATCCTATTACCCCTCTTATTCAATTTTTAGGAGAAAAAAAATGTTTATGAATTTATCAATCTACTCTTTCTAAATAAATTAATGCAAATGCACTTTAAACATGTTACATAACTACGTTTCTTTAAAAAATTTCAAAACACTTTCTTATAAGGCTAGAGTTACAATTTTATCCCACTAACACCAACGACAACATAACGGAGAAAGGAAAATGGTGTATATGTGATACAATTTTAAAGGTCCACTCAATAAAAAGCGCGAAAAGTGTCATTCACGTAATAAATTCACAAGCCTTAGAGATAGTATATGTTATTCTCTCAATAATAAAGAAAATAGTTAAATAATTGATAAATTCTGCTAGCTTTGGCTGTGTCAACTACACAAATTATACATTGGATCTCTAAAATAGGTAGTAAGAAATAATAAGTATTGCAAGCACCATGATCTGTTTTAAGTTAGATCACGAGTTTAAGTAGTAATTATCATTTTTTGCTTACAAAAATTGTTAACATTTTAAAGTAATGACTTAATATAAGATAATATTTCTAGGGGTTTGGACCAATGTTTAAAACCCAGCTTGACCCAACCGTTTCGATCGATCAGATAGGGAATCGATGCCTTCTCTAGGCCGGGCACCCCTCAAACTCGGTTATACCATTTGGACTGGATTAGCTTGCGATTCAACTATCGGAACAGTGTCGCATCGCTGTTTGAAGCATCGGGTCAGAGAACTGATCGTGGGCAAAGGTCAATAATCAACCAAACAACCCATGCAATCTTCAAACAGTTGCTGATCTAATCAAACAAAAATTTGTGCACAAGGGGGTGACTGACTGGGCACTGGTTAGGGCAAAAAAATAAACAGGTGGTAGGTGTATTTCAAACTCCATAAAATTTGGTCACCAACGATAAGAAAATGGCTGGGAAGAGGTTACAATCAATCCACAACAATCACACACTCCACATGCACACTCAATTTCATCCAACAACTCCAAAAAAACTCAAACGACCTTCAAATTGCGAAAACCCTAGGGTGGATGGTGATCGGGGAGTGATAAAATATGTTATACTCTTATTTAATTACCATTTCAGTTGGAGTTCTTAAAATGTAGAAGAGATAAAACTTAAAACGGAAAAATAGAATATTAACCATGAATTTGGAGATCAGTTATTTTCTTTCTTTTTGACCAATTTTATCGCCATGTATACCAAAAGAGTTTTTAATTGCCAGGCGATACTATATTACAACATAATCTCACAAACTTTATTTCATAATCTCCGACATGACAGCCTATAATTGTTAGCTAACAAATAAGTTTCACCTGCTCGTTATAGGTCTTGTCTACTCAATTACGAGTTGACTAATTGCGAGCTGTCACGTCGAGATTGTAAGAAAAAATCAATTACGAGTTGACTAATTGCGAGCTGTCACGTCGAGATTGTAAGAAAAAATTTGTAAGGTTGGGTTTAGAAGAAATCATTATTGTCAATTGCCGCCCATGTACAGGGTCTGTTTGTGCTGATCCCAAGGTCCTTTCTTTTTTAAGCTGTGCTAGTTGATGATTAGGGATTGTATATCCTTTGTTGTTTTGTTTTCTTTTGCTTGCTATAGTTCTTCGGCATGTCCAAGGGCCGGTTTAGGAGGGGTTTCCCTGTTATAGGTTGTATTATTTATTCTTTTTAATGTTAGACAAACGGTGACGTTTTAGAAAGGTTAAAGTGTCGTCGTTTTTATGTTGAAATAATCAGCTATTAAAGCTGACTTGTAACACTGTTAACTCTATCGAAATATTAAGAAAAGTTCTAATCCCTCTTTTCTCTCTGTTTTTGCTCTCAAATCCCTAACTCTCATATGGTATCAGAGCCCAAGTTCAGTTGAGCTGAGCGCTTGACCAGCAGGTGGGGAGTTAGAGCTAGCAACTACCTCTATCAATAGGCATGACCCAACATATGGGCTTGACCGTGAGGGGGAGTGTTGGAGTCCCACACCGACTAGGCACGCTCAAGCCTATTGGTTTATAAGAGGGGGTAATCCTCCCATTCAACAAGACCTTATTGGATGAGGAGTCAGGCCTACCTCAAATTATATCAGGGGGGTTTAATAGACTTTTAATTAATAATTAGTATATGTATCTTATTAATTCCTTTCTTTAATAGGTACTTTTTTTTTTCTCTAACCACCATTGGATGGTTTGATGGTAAAATAGCAAAATAAGTTTAACAAACTCTTGAGTTCGAGTTCTCCCAGACATTAATGAGGGTGACCACTAGGACTCTTACCCGTCACATAATTCCAAGCTTTTTTTGAAAAAAAAAATATTAATATATAATTTTTTTTCTTTTTGTGACAATTTCGACCAGAAAAAACAAAATATGAATATTATATGCAATTAGTTTTTATTTTGGTCCACCCTAACAGAAATTTCTGGATCTGTTACTGGTTCCAAGGCCCCAGAAAAATAGTTGAGGTGCTGGCAAACTGATCTAAACACTCTCGATGATCAAATAAAAAAAAAAAGTTAGTTTTTTTTTTTTAATTATATAAATTAAGCAAATCACTAGAAAAGTGAAGCACCAAAAAGATAAAAGAAAAAAACTGAAGATTGTGGTTGCGTCTGGCTTTCATGTGTTGTCCCTATTTCTTCGAGGCTGTTCGATTTATAATTCATACATATATTTAATCTCATCTCCATCATACTTTATAATTGTAAAAAGTGTTTATAGCTTTTTACTTTCAAGATACTTTGTTGCTTTAGGATTTCTTATAGTAACTTGTACATCCAAAAAGTTGCNAAAAAAAAAAAAAAAAAAAAAAAAAAAAAAAAAAAAAAAGAAAAAAAAACAAAACAAAACAAAACAAAATTTAGCACACCATGCACAACAGTTCACAGATTATTAAATCTTAGTTCTTGTGATCAGTCAAGCTTCAGTACACTCTTGCCATAACCGAGGAACAAGCAGACAACAGTGATTAGGTGCAGCTTTCATCAGGTGCAATTTTCATCAGATTGAGTGACATTCAGTTTTGCTCTTAGTTCATTAAACTGAGCAGCTGATAATGCTTTGGTAAGAACATCAGCTATTTGTAACTTGGATGGGACATACTAAATTGCTAGCTTATTTGCTAATGCTTGCTCTCTAATGTAGTGAGCATCAATCTCAATGTGTCTAGTTCTGACATGAAACACAGGATTAGATGCAAGAGCTCCAACACTAACATTGTCACACCAAATAACTGGAACAGTGTGAAAAATCAGTCCTAGTTCATTAAACATACTCTCCAACCAGGCTATTTTAGTTGCAGTATGAACTAAGGCCCTATACTCAGTTTCGGTAGAAGAAAGTGCAACAACTTTTTGTTTCCTGGAACTCCATTGTATCAAGTTTGGTCCTAGGTAGACACAATACCCACTTGTGGACCTTCTATCCTCAAGAATTCCACCCTAATCAGCATTCGCACAACATTCTATATGTAATGCATTTGCTAGTTTGAACAACAGACCATAGTTTATAGTACCTTTAATGTACTTAACAAGCTTTTGCCATTGGAGTTTAGTGGGAGCCTGTAAAAATTGACTCAATTTGTTCACAGTAAAGCTGATGTCTGACCTGGTAAGTGTCAAATATTGAAGCGCTCTTACAATACTTCTATATAGGCTAGGATTTTGAAAAAATTCACTGTCATCAGAACTTAATTTAACTCCAACAGTCATGGGTGTAGGGCAAGGATGTGCTTCCATCATTTTAGTCTTGATAAGAAGATCTGAAACACACTTGGACTGCTTGAGATGAAGACCAGCCTTTGTTCTTGTTGCTTCAAACCCGAGGAAGTACTTAAGTGACCCAAGGGTTTTTAAGGCAAAATCATATTAAGATCTCCCATCAGTTTGGTGATAAACTCTCCATCCGAACCAGTTTATCAGTATGTCATCGACGTATACAGAATATAAGTAGAACCTGAATTCTGTTGGAAAGTAAATAAGCTTGAATCTGAAACTGAATTTCTAAATCCTTTGAGCTAAAGAGCTGTTTTCAATTTGTCAAACCAGGCTCTTGGAGTTTGCTTAAGGCCATAAAGTGCC